TTTTTATCTGTTTTATAAAAAGTTTTAAAACTTGGCCACCATCCTGGAGTCTATTTTAAAGCCCTGTGAACAGGCGATTGGCTGAATTTTAAAACAGTTCAAGGTTTTTGCTCACTGCTCATATCTGTATGTGAACAAATTATTTCAGCCTCCTTTTAAAGTAAAGTTCAAACAGTAAACCCTGAAGAGGTCAGCAAATAATCCATCAGTTTTCTGTGTCTTCCTCTTCTTATCGTCCTTTCAGCCCCATCTGGTGACCTTCCAGTCCTCACTCTGAGGGAGCTGTCTGTCTCTTTGGTGGACTGCATGAAAACTCCAGTGCTGAACAGTGACGATAATCACAGCAGCTTGCAGCTCAAGCTGAAAGAGGAGGACGAGCAGTTGGGGAGAGAGTACGAGGGCTCAAAGCTGGAGCTGCACCCAGTCTGGCCGGACAGCGGAGTCGGAGCAGAGATTCATTTGTATAAAGAAGAAGAAGAAAATAAAAACAACATCTTGGTGGAAAACAAACCTGAAGAACTTGCTCGGACTGATGGCAAAATGTTAGTGTTTCAGGAGAACGGCAGCGGCACCAAAGGGACGGCGTGCCTCATACAAGGTTGCGAACTATCAGAGTCCCTCGAAACAGCTGCACTGGGCGCCACTTCAGAGGAGGAAATGGATGCAATGTCACAGCAAAGTCAGGAAGAAGATGCTTTATCAGACAGAGCGGAGACGGCACAGCAGGACACTGAAGCAGAGGAAGCTGAAGATGCAGAAACCCCCGAGCCCGAGTCTGGAGGTGAATGTTTAATAACTAGTGTTTTAGTAATTTTTTAATTATTCGATTAAAACTTAAAATTTTCACCAGAAAGTTTTTTTTAAGGCTTTGCTGACAATATTTTAGCTTTGCACTACTGCTCTGTTGCCTCTTGGTGGCACTGTGACTATTAGATACTGCTGAGTAGATGTTCAGGTCTTCATCAAACGTGAGAAGTTTGGGCCGTACTGGACGACATATGTGTGAATTACAAATTTCCCCATGGAGCAAGAGACACGCTCTTCAATAAAAACTCAAAAGTTTTCCAATTTATCATCAGTGAGGTCTTTGCATTAGACTGAGTAAATATGATCAGATCAAATCTTTAAAGTAAGAAAGTAAAACCTAGAAATTTCATTATTTCTAAATGATGTTATTTCCACAATTCCCTCCTAAATTGTTAGCTTTACAGCATGGCTACAAAAGGTTTGGTTTTTGTAGGTTTTTTGTGCATCCTGTGATGTTACATGTGTGTGCCAAATCTCACATATGCAGGTAAAAAAACAAAACATCAGTTGGGTTTATTTGTAATAAGCCCAACTGTTCACATTCAGAGCATGTTTAGCTTCTAGAAAAAGACCTTATTATTAGGAGTGGGCGATATATCGAATATACTTGAGGTATCGGAAGTTTTTCCATGTATGATGGTTAAAATGGCTTTATCGTGACCATCGAGTATAAATTGCCATGACAATATTAAGCCATTGACACATGTCAACATCTCCTCACACAGCAAAGAAAATGTTAAACCAGCTGTGATGCTTGTGACTGTTCTTGGTCAGTCATTTTTATAGTCACTATCGAAACATTTCTTTCTGTAATTTGAGATAATCCCATTTTTTGTTTTAAAATTTTCATATTTCATTAGCACAAAAGAGCACCTTTTTCATTTCAGTTAGTTTATTTTGTCACGTGAATTATTGCTTGATGTACTTTTGTTTGTTCTGATCTTTTGTTTGTTAAATGTCTGGTGTTGAACACAGAAAGAGACGCACAGTAGTGTCATTTTTTTGTATTTGAAGTAGAAGTAAAACACAGAATGGTCGATTTGAATGCTGTACTACACCAAAGTGGGGGTTTTTTTTCGGGGGGGTTATTTGAACATTAGATCTTTCTCATATTGCCCAGCCCTACTTGTTATTGTTATTGTTATTGTTATTATTATTATTAGTATCATTATGATTAGTTGTAGTAGTACGAGTAGTATTGGTATTAGCTTGAGTATTATAAACTTAGTGCAAGATCCTGTTGCATCTGCTAGGAGTTCACAGGTCCAATAATAGCTCGAGCTGATTCAAGTTTGGTGAAAATCATGTCAAGGTCACAGCAAATGTAAAAATCAGTAAAAGCTTTACATTACCCACAATTATTTCTGGATCGTCCACAAACTTGGCGCCCCCAACATCAAAGTTGACCTTGAAAAAAGATTTAAAGAAACCATATTGAGTATATGTATATGTATTATAAAAGGGCATGGGGAGCACTGTACAAAGCACTTTTTCAACACAATGCCTTACGATGTCACAAAGATGGCATAAAGGTTCGCAAATTGCAAACAGCATGAAAATACCTTCAAATTTCAAGTTTTTACAGCTTATAGAACCCAAAGATTTCATCTTATGGGTAAACATGCTATTTTAATGTAATGCTTCAAGGCCATAGGTCAAAAGGTCAGACATTAGTCTTGTTATAAAAGCAGATTGATTGATTGTAATAAAAACATCAATTTTTTTACATCCTTCAAGCTTCTCTTCTAAACATCGTTTTCAACATGCTAATGGAATAATTGAGCATTGTGACTTGTAATCATCACTTCCTTCTTTCCTCTTCCTTGCAGCTCCTTCTTGTGTGTCTTCAACCAATGAAAACCAAACACAGAACCAACAGGATGCTGCGTCTGAACCCCGACACCACCGCTGTCAGCACTGTGGGAAGTCCTTCACAAGGAAGAGCAAC